CACGCAAAAATTTCCCCTTGAAGCTGACGCTTTTGAAAAGACGTGAGTATGAACAGTTCTTGTCGAAATGAAACCACTTCAAGAAAAGATCATTACCATTCCGCTCCAGCCAAATACCTTCACTGCTACCCCTGACGCAAACTGACCTGTTTCACGAAGAAATTCAGCAATTTGCGTGTCTGTCCAACAGCTCTGTCGGCCCGCTCCTTTTCTCGTTCAAACTAAAGAACTTTTTTTTATACTGTTTTCGACACGATGAGAATAGCAAGAAGATCTAATACGATCTCAACCATAGAATGTCAAGAATCTATTGAATTTGAAGAAATTCCGCACCGTCTCCTTGTCGATGGTGCCCTTTCCAATGGTCCCATTCGAAATCGGTGCTACCGATGGCGTTGACACAGACGTGCTCGGTTTCGTGACAGAAGTGGATGGTTTCGGTGCGGAGGGAGTAGCTGGCTGTACAGCAGGTGAAGGTGCAGTTTTCACTTCTGAAGGGAGAGCAGCATTGTACTAAGTTTCCAACAACTTTCTTGAATGTCAAAAGTGAATCAGTAACAGTGTAACACTTCATTCTGAGGGAAGCCTGAGAGAGATGCTAAAATATTCCCCAATGAAGGGACGTGACCAGAGAATTTCCCCAACGGAAATACATGCCCTGGTATATTCATATATATATGGAATGTCCTTCCGTTAGAGAAAACTTTTCCAGAATAGGCCCCTTCCCTCGGAACCCTGTCCTCTGTATGCCCTCCCCTCTCCCCCACCCTACCTACCATCTTACTAAATCGCAGAACTTCTTACCATTCCCCGGAGTTCAGTCAGCCACCAAAAACATTTTTCCAGCGGCAATTAACCCCCTCCCACAGCAACCACGAACGACCCCCCCCCTCGCTGAAGATTCCCTACGCACGACGTCTTCTGATTAATAAAGACCCAAAATTAGTCTCACAACTACAGCAACTGCCTCATCAACGTAACGGGGCATTATAGAAATGGAAATGTATGAAATGCCATACCTTTAGCCGGTGGTGTGTTGGAACTTTTCACTTCCGTTGCAACAGTCTTTTTCTCATTTAGTTTCTCATTCTCCTCATACTGCCGCCTTAAGTCGGCTTTCGTTTTCGGTTTCTTCGGCTGAAAAGCATACAGAATCAGAATCAAACGATTTAGCGGATCTCTAGCTTTTCAAGGTCTGGGATGTTGCCGGCATATAAAGTGGGGAGGCATGGGAATGCCATTGCCGCCAGAAGAACGGGTGGCACTGCGCCAAACCCACTCCCACCTCCCACGCGCTAAAGCATCGCAATCGAGCAAGACTACATGAATGCAAGTATAGCAGTGATCAGCATAACAAAGAGGAAAACAAAAACTGAAATCGAACAAAGAAACCTACCGGGAACCCGCCCCTAAAGACAGCCTAAAACTTCGCGCTACACCAGTATGATGAGGCACATTAGTGCATTTACTGCTGGAAGGTGTAAAGAGGCGATTGTGGGCCATAAAATCAAAGTTTTTGATAAGGCCTAGGATGAGAAGCCTTGGGAAGGGTGAACTGATTCCTTGTGTTGGTTTTAAATGTCTCTGGTGCTTTGCTTCAGAATGCCCATCTTCTTGGAAAAGTTGAAAGGCAGCTGGTGCGATAATTTGGTACTTGGTTTAAAAACAGCAAGGATGCATACTGTGGGGAAAATGGCGAAAAGCGAAGTGAAACGGTCAAAAACCTGCAAAAAAGCCTTTGTTCTACACGACTCAGAAAGCAATTTCGGACGAGTTTCCCGTTGGCATCGTGCCAATAACCGCTACGGTAGATACGGCTGCATGTATGTACTCATATATCCATGCAGCACTGCAGCCTTTATATCAAGTCCCTTCGCCACATATTGTACTTCGCAAATGAAGAAATACGAGATCGGGATCGATGTGGCATTTGTGGGCGGACGGATCAGTGGGCGTCCGGGTCGGTATGTTGTAGCCTGATATGGCCCTATAAGTTCACCTTCCTCGGGGAAGGAGCCCAGCAGCGCCTGCTTAAGAGTGCGGCATTCAGTCCTGCTAGGTGTATTAATCCTACACGTTTTACAGATTTATCGTGCCAACTGCCTTTACGGATTCACATCTATTTCTTGAATAACACTAACCAAGTCGGGCACCGTGACCGGTTCTTCCTCATCACTTTCTTCACTTGACATTACACGACGGTTTTTGGAAGTGCTAATGGCAGCTGCTGCACGTTTCGTTGGCGGCCGTCCGACGGCACTGACACGTTCTGACGACTTAAAGAAGAGCAATGAAGATGAGAAGCATCATGTGAGAAGTACCAGTGAAGCTCCATCACACCAACCTTATTTGGAGGGGCAGGTGCTTTGCTAGCCACCTTTCGCGGCGGCCTTTCTGGGCTCGACTCGGATTCACTCGTTAGTTCCTCTCTACGTTGAGCGACACGAGATGAGCGCTTCAGCGGCTTCGATGAAATAGGAGGGGATGGCGCCCGGCGTGGAACCTGTAATGACTACTCACGTAACATCAACTGTTCAGAATGTTAGACGATTATAAATTGCCGGAAGTTAAGACCCTGGTTTCAACGAACCTCCCTGTTCTTCTGCGATGTTGCTGGAGTAGATAGTGAAGCAACTGGGCGTCGAGCCGATCCACTACCGTTCGTGGTAGCTATTGAAGGGCCGCGATTGGAAAGGTCTGGTCTGCGATCCGTGCCTCGACCCTGAATGCTCGAAATATGACGGCATAGAAAAGAGCTGTCTTAGTATGAAAAATGACAGATTAAAAAGAAAAAGGAGCAAAGCAAAGAATGTGAGGTAAACTGACCGCTGTGCTTCCCAAACTCTTCGCTGGTGGATCTGGTGACTTTTGTCGCACTAGCTTGCCCTCTTTCAGCTGAAAAGGCATTTCACATCCATGTCAATTCTTCACATTTCTTACATATCCCCACAAGCTCACGTCAGTGTTATAATTGTGGAAAAGGCATAGCACGCAGAGTTCGTGTAGAGACAAGTGGCGACAGTCACTTCGAGCACGGCGCAAGTTACATCTTCTATCGCCTGTCCCTCAAGCAAATCAATCCTTTCGATACGGTCGGCTGAAACCAAAATGACCCGTATCGAAAGGATGATTGAAAAAATTGCTATGGAAGAAAACACTGAGTTTTAACGGCCGACTGCCCTTGAAGACAATCCCGCAACTGATTAATCGTCGGACAGCTGGACGTCTCCAGGGCGAAAATAAGCAAAAAAAAGTCAGGGAGAACATGCCTAGACCTCGGCAGCCTTCGGACGAGTTCTCCAGAGTGCTCGTTCGAAAAAGCAAAAAAACAAAAAAAACAAAAAAACAAGAACAAAACGGTTTGTGCAACCTGGACTCATTACTATATCGCTTCCCGTCCTAAAGCAATGCAATTCTAGCAAGTTAAAAGACAAACAGGAAACCCGGTTAACAACTGGAACTCCGTTTACAGAAAAGCCTTAGTTGTGGTGGCGGTACAATGAGAGAACCTGTGTCAGAAAATGCCTTATAAGGAGTCGCGAGTGCCTGGCGTAACTAGTTAGAAGCCGCGAAAGTTAATTATTTTAGAACTGTTGGTCCAGACCACTAGCTCAAAAAGGACAACTAAAGGCAGTTGGCACGATAAATCCCCCAGACGACTAGGATCAATACTCCTGGCAGGATAGAATTCCGCGACCCTGGGCAGGCGCTGCATAGCGGTTTCCCCGAGGAAGGTGCCCTTATAAGGGCCCTATCAAGCCACAACTTTACGTCCCAAACGCCCGCCCACAAATGGACGACCGTTCCTGACGCTCGTATTCATTCATTTGCTAAGCAAATTATGAAGCGAAGGGATTGGTATGAAGCGGCCGTGATGCTGCATATATGGTACACATATGCAGCCGTATCTTCGGTAGCGGTGATTGGCAAGATGCCTACGGGAAACTCGTCCGAAATCGATTTACAAGTCACTGAGAACGGAGGCTTTTTCTTCGCAGGATTTTGACCGTTTCACTCCGTTCTTTCGCCATTTCCCCACTATACAGCGCCCTACTAGCATTTTAGGCTAAGTAGGAAACCATCGTGCCAACTGCCTTCAAGTACCAACTGTTTGCACGCAACCCTCCCCTGCGTCACTACAATTATGGATGAAAAATTTATGAACCAAATTCACGGAAATAAGATTGTTCTCGTCACCGCACCTAAGAAAAAAAAATACTATGCCTCTGTATTTCATCCATTCGTACAAATGATTCATACCTTCTGCACCTCTTCAGGCTTTGAACATCCTCGAAACATACTGTTGGGATGATCGTCACAGCACCATTTTTCAGGGATTCCATTGATTTCATACGGAGCATGATACTCAACATGACGCCACTTCAGGCATTTATCTAAAACGGCACTTATCTTAATAAATAAATAGATAAATTCCTGAGCTATGAGCGTGCATAATTAATAAATGATAAATGAATAAATAAATGAATAAATACTACTGAAAACAAAAAAGGAGAAATAAAATATTGACGTGGGAAAGTGCGCTACCGGCCAATTGCTGTAAAAAAAAGTGCAAAAACAAACATTGCAATAGCGGGAAACATTAAATGTAATAAATGATATCTCACCGCACTGTATAGTGTGACCAATCCTCAGGAACCGTTTCTTGCGATGCTCTGCCAGATTTGTGCATTCCGAACTCCAGTCCGAGTTTTCGTAACCAAAGTTCTTCCTGCAACAAACAAGCAGATAGTAGCAAAGAGAATATCAAAGTCAGTGGTCAGCTGAGCCATATACAGGGGGGGGGGGGGGCAGAAAAAAGACCTTTTTTTTTCCTCGAATTTTCGAGGCGCTATAAGTTACCCTTAGTGTAAATTTCTATCGTACTTTCTACCGACCGATATTAAAAAGAGCATATTGCACTATCATGATAACCTTCCCCACAGTCTTCTGCAGGAGCGCCATCGAGACAGATTCTGCCAGCGCGACCTGACCTGGTCAGTGGGTTGCATGATTCAGCGAGATGTTGATTTCTCCGCACTATAGACGAGCACCGTCGCTATTGACTCGATCACCCGAACCAGGTAATTGAGGGGTTCAGGCCAGGTTACCTACTTAGATATTCCACCTTATTCAGGTACTCAACGCCCTTCCATTCCAAGTAGGCAAGAGTTTTCCCAACGCCCTTTGATTCCATGGTGTCACCCAATCCTGTAGCAGTACAAAGCTTCAAAAAAAGAAGGTACGGTGAACTGACATGTGGAGGGAGGAATTCTTTCTCGAGTTGCTCGATTAAACCGCACAGCGTCACCTTACTTAAGGGCCCCCACGGAAGAAAATATCGTCTGCGTCATTCCAGGTACGTCCGCGTGACACACATCAGATCGTCTTGTGACTGTGCTGCAGTAGATGTCCTAACCGGTGGCGAGTGTCGGAGGCCTGCTCGATGTTGGAGATCTTCCAAATTGAGAGTACTGCCTCCAGGTAGCTATCCATGGGTGACTCCATACTAGAAGTTTCGCAGCTGTTCGGAGGTGACATGAATTCCGAAGGCCTTCCCCAGTCAGGTTGCGGCTGGAGATGACTTCATATTTTGGTGTACATGAAGGCGATGGGCGAGAGCCAGCTCCTGCTTATAGAGGAACATTTGGGTATCTTTCGCCCTGGTACCCGTATCCACGTCTTCTCTCTGCCGTTCACTGCCGAAAACTCTTCCGCTGATATGTGACTCGGTCGAAATGTCTTTTTTTTTTGCCCCCCCCCCTGTATACAATTAAAGGCAATTATGACATTACAAGGATGTTGTGATATGGACAAAAGATTTGATCTCGTGCTGGTCTCGAACCTGGACCTCACGCTTACCGCGCTACCGTGCTCAGGACAACTCAGTCCACTTATTCTTATTACTTTAATAAAACAAGTCTAAGAGTGCGTTCATCTTTTGCATCATCACTTTGAGCGCCCGCCAGCATTCTCATCGACTAGCAAGGTACCGTATTGATTACTGCTAGAAACACTCGCGGACGCTAAAAATGTTGATGCTCAAATGCTGCTGAACGCCCAGAACGCTCAAAATGCTCGCGGACGCTCGAAACGCCGACAGCCGCTTGGGCTGTTGCAGAGGTGAACACATTCTAAAACTATCAAATCACTGAGCACTACATATAACTATACGACCTCGTAAGACGTATGATTTGACTACAACGCACTAACCAAAATGATTTGATGCCGCTTGGACCATCACTGCCGGCCAAATTGATGTCCTTCCAATATTGTTCCATGTGATCATTCATAGCGCGAAGCAGAGATAGATATTCTCTGAATAACAGGAAAAAATAGCAACCAATAGAACAGCAAAAAAAAACAACAAAAAACTTAATAAACCATGAATCTTGGAAAAAGTAATAGTCAGAATCAAATCCCCAGCTTCAAGGGAGAAGCCTTTAATCAACCAGTTTAGATTCTTGGAATAGCTTTTCGATGTGAACTCGATTTGATCAAACGAAGTTTTCATATGCACTTTCAAAAGTCAGAAAAGTTGCTGAAAGGGTGCACGACCCTGGCTTAGTCCAAGCTTTTTTGCTCGGTACTGTGATTCCCAGATTTCAAGTGGGTGTGAATTGTCATTCCAAAACAGAATGCTTTTAAAGACAGCCCCCGCGCTCAAGTAGTACATGGTCGTCCTTCCTTGTGCAAGTAGTACAGCCCCCAAGCTAGAGACTGTCCCACTCTCGCAACTCCACAGCGAGCGAGGAGCGAGCTACAGCCGCTGAAAGTTCTAGTTCTAACGCCGCCCACTTGCTAGATGCCCTCTGACGGAGGGCCGCTCAGTTGTTCTTTGTTGGGGCGGCGGGCATTAATCGGAATTGCATGTCCTTTTCGCTGACCGCGCTCGTGCCCATGAATGATTCTGCTCTCCTTTATTACATTTTATTCATTAGGAGCACATACAGTCAACTCCAACCCATCTCGCAAGGTAAAACGCGTAAAAATCACGAGCGACCCAATTTTCGTGGTGCAAAAGCTCGACGCACTTCACTACACTAAAATATGCACGCTACCGTAACCCTAGCTAACTAACTAGCGTAACTTTTCTTTGTAGTGGGTGATATCAACTACTGCGAGATGTGATAGAGAGATTTGTGAGCTAGGGGTTGCACAGAGACCGCAGGGAGGTGTGACTGTCAGGGAGCGATTTTGTTTATGGTGTTCTTGAGGACTCTTCTTGCTTTTTTTTCTTCTTTGGGAATTACTTATCAGCTACTGTTTCATAATTGAACAGCAACTATCCATGACACTTTATCGCGGGAGTTGTCTTTAAGGAACAAAAAATAAAATAAAGAATGAACAAAAGAACAAACAAAGAACAAAAAAATGCCAGTAGATATTTGAATGCATACCTTTTATTTTCGAAACTCTGCTTATTGTGTGTTGGTTCCAAAATGGAGTACGGCACGTCTACCACTCCAACAACACCAAGACATTTCCTTAAAATATTTTCAGTCAAAAGCTCATGAAAAAACAGCGACGAAAACGACTTGAAAGCAAATAGACACACAGAACGTTTAGAGGCCATTTTGGCCGCTATACCAGTGATGCGGGTATATTTTTGTGTGATCCTAAGGGAAAAGAAGCCTAGAAGTTGGCGTACTGATTCTTTTGCTGTGGCCTTAGGCCGCGTTCATAGCTTGCGACCATGAAGAATGCAGAAATGCAGAAATGAAGAAATGCGGAATCTGCGGAAATGACGAAAAGCATTGTATACATATCGATTTGAAGAAATGCAGAAATGCCGAAACTGCAGAAGTGCGGAAGTGCGGAATCTGCAGAAATGACGAAAAGCAACCGATACGTATCGATTTTCCGCACTTTCGGCATTTCTGCAGATTCCGCACTTCTTCACTTTCGGCATTTCTGCATTTCTTCAATCGATATGTATATAATGCTTTTCGTCATTTCCGCAGATTCCGCATTTCTTCATTTCTGCATTTCTTCATGGTCGCAAGCTATGAACGAGGCCTGTTTTGTAAGAAAGGTCATTCAATTAAGCAAACTCACATCATCAAATCATTCTTTTCCTTTTGTACTGCTGCTTTCACATACATTTCAATCAATCTGCCGTTGTTATATAACATGCAACCGTATCGGTTCCTTAAAAAGTAGAGTTTAAGATCCAGTCAAGTCCACACTCAGTTTTGCTATGGAAAAAATTGTAACCTATGATGGATGTTGAGCCCAAAGTAGAACGTCAATGGAATAGGGTTATTTTTAGCCTGCAAAATAGCATTGCTCGCCAATTAAGAAAAACTGAAATCATAGGAAACTGGTGTCAAACTTTTATACCTTCAGCGCCAATGATGCACGCTTCTCAGCTTGTTCTTTCTTCGCTTCCATATCGGCTCGAGCCCTATATAGGACATATTACTCTTCCACAATACAACTTCTAAATGCACTTTAAAAACGCACTTTGCAAGCAGCCGCTGCTCTATTCGAAGGGTCTTATTAGCGTGGATATTCTGACCACGGTGCTTTGCTTCAAATTCGCCAAGAGCTGACGACGACAACCGAAGCATTTCTTTCACTGAAAATCCAAAATTTACAGTTATAGAGAGCTTTCGCCCTAAACAACAGGTTTTCTCCAGTTAATGATGGAGAAGGAGGAGTGCGAAAGCGGCCACCGACCCCAGCCTCCTTCAGAGGTTAATCGAAATTTTTTTTTACAAATATAACCCAAGAACCCCCATTAGCGTAACCCTGCAATTCGGCCATTTAGTCAATTCTGAGGAGGACCTTTTATTGGCCCATACTACCGCCTTCGTCACTAGCTATGCACGTATGTAACACCACGTTACGACTAAGTGGGCAAGCCGAGGCTGGAATGGAGACGATTCCGTGCTCCTGATACGGTCTATATTACAGTCTGTACACGAAAAAAATCTTGGATAAATATTCGTCCTGTTCGCGAGCGTTATGCTTGTCGTTGGGAGGACCCTATAAGTTAGAGGGGGGGGGGTGCGAGGAATCGTGTTTGCTTGTTGCTTCGAGAGGAGGGTTCATATAGGGGGTGGGGTCGTATCTGGCTTCAAGGTTTTTTCTTCGTGTGCGAGAGATTTTCTTTGAAAGCTGACTTGCTAACTTTTCGCGGCTTCTTTCTCGTTTCGCATGGGCTATATCACCCCCACCCCACTCTTCAAAGACAGAAGTTTGGGGGGAAACCGAAAACTTCAGAAAATTCCAGAAAAAGTGGTAGAGTGAGAAAATTTGAGGGGGAGTATCTTGCTGAACAATCCCCAGCAACAGGACGTGCCCTGATTACAGTAGCAATTATCCCATGGACAGCAGTATCCTGTACTTTGGAAGATCAAGGTACGACAACAAGGTTAAATATGATCTCCAACTAAGTAACTGACGGTAACAAAATAACAAATTGTTCCATTGTACAATACTTACCCTCTTTCACTTTTTGTTCGCATCTCTCGAATTCCTTTGTAGCACATGCTTTCAGATTTTTCGCTGTATAATTGTATCTATACGGGTATAATAAAGTACTCAAGATCCTCTTTGTTAACACTTTCTTGCCACGAAGATAGACCTAAAACAGGGGTGTTAAGTGAGCACAGGTTCTTCTATGGAGCGAGAATAGTTTTCGTACCTTCATACGCGGGTTGAGATAAAGTACAGACAAGTACGCTCTCAAGGAGTTGCGCTCCTCCTCCCTGAAATACCAGGCCTAGTAATATCGACGAAAAAGTGGCTAGAAAATCGTAGTCATAGGAAGGAACGGTGCTATCAGAGATGAAGCAGTTGAGAAACTAGATCACGACCACACTAGTCGTCACGGTACAGCCCTTGTAGAAAGGGGTTACCATCTCGTTGGAAGGGTGAGCACAGATAGATAGTCGCACAGCAGTGCCGCCCCCCCTACCCATCCTTTTACCCCAATTTCACTTTTCACTTACGGGATAATACTCATGAAAATCACAGAATACTGCTTTCTTCGAGGTAGACATACCTTTGCTCCTCAAAATTCGACAGTCGTACATCATATGGCGTATCAAAGTTTAGTTCGAAATCACCAGTTTCGATACGTCTCATGTTGAACAGCACGATTAGGGTACCTGATTGGCCACTAATACGTTCAAACTGTTCAAAAAGTGCGTCCTGAAATTTGCACGGTATTATTGGAATACCCTAATAGAAGTGAATCGATGCAGGAATACAGGAAAATCATTACCTGAGAATCAAAAGGCGTGTAATTGTAGATCACATCCATCGATTGAGAGTGCTAAAATAAAGAAAATGATAACATCATCAGATAAAAATTAGGGGAAATCGAGGAGGGAGTCTTCGCACGGGAACGATCGTTTTTGGCACGCGGCACGCATTCCACTTCCATTCAGAGAATCTTGGTGACTTATTGGATGTGACTTAAACCATTGTTTTGTCGTACATTTCTACCTATGTCTATTTCTTCTTCTAATTATACAATGACTTGCACAGGCCAGTCGCTGTGAAGTTAGGGTTCTATTTCTTCAGATGAATCCTGTACCAATTTACTGTCCCCGGATGGTAGACGGCTTGGTTGGCCTGGGAACCAAAGATTATATCCCCCCCCCCAGCACGCATGTTAAGCGTGCCACTTGGCCCCTACAAAACCTCCCGCCTACGACAAACGTTACCAAATAAAAGATAGAAAACACACAAAAAAATTAATATACAATAAACATTTATATGAAGACATATGGGGGTAAATGCTTAAGCTCACCGTGTTTGCAACAAGTACAATTAGAGAGGAACTGGCGTGTGGGTCTTAAATAACCTCATTTTAGAGCGGAAAGGGCCTAATGGCAAAAACCCATCCATCATACGCGGGAGGGTTAAATCTCGGTTCAGCTTCTGCCTGGGCCAACCAAGCTATCTACACCGGGGCCGGCAAAGTGGCTCCAGATTTTTTTGGAGGGGGGGGGGAGATAAAAACGTCTGGCCCCTGTAAGCCACTGCATGGACTACAATTGCATTCAACAACCCTTTCGATTCCGAATAGAATTAAAAGCAGTTCTCATTTCCAAAAGGGACTTATCAACCACGAAAGCTTTGTCCTTTTTTTGTTCCTCACTTCAGTCTCCTTTTCCGTTCTCGCTCGCACCTTGTGGTCACGGACACATCGCATCAAGAATGATCAAGAATGCACGCAGTGAATACTTACCATCTTCGCCTGGGTTTGTGAATCACAGTACATAGCACGTGTACCGCCTTCCAATGTGAATGACGCGACTGGTACGAAAACCTAAAAACTTTACTACAGAGAACTACTTTCCGTTTTTCCGTAGACTCTCCGTTCGACTCATGCATTTATTCATACAGTCACAAAATCTTCCTACTGGTAGAATACAGTGAGCACATGCGAAACTTCGATTAACGACACACCTCCTTCAATGAGTACATTTCATGAAACGTTCTTGATAACAACAAACACGTCAGCAACCCATCTTTCTTCGTAAACATAATGAAATCTTTGGCAATACGCATCGCACCGCTGAAATTCGGAAAGTAACAAAAAGAACAGTTAATAAACTTGTCAAGCCAACAGGTCGGTAAAAATCGAGAAACACATTCCGCGATTGCAGTTCATAGATCAGGGTTCACAAGGGCATTTTCAGGTGCTTATTAATCCCCAGTAAAGGAGAAAGCTGATACAGCCGACGAAAACGTCTTAATAAGGCCCGGCCGATTCTAAGAACAACTAAATAGGCGCAGATATGCTCAGCGCTAGCATGAGAGACCGGAAAATCTACAGGATAAAGATAAAGAAACATATAGGCATAGGGCATCTACATACTGTCAAGAATCAACTAATCTGAAGAAGGGCAACCAACCTAAACCACAACCCTTAGCGGTCCTAGCACGCATTTTTGAGTGGGAAAAATGAGACGAGCAAGAGGTTACGGACCTGTGTAAGGTTCAGAGCCCGTTCATACTTCGCGATCCAATCGCAGGGATCGCACGATCGGACCGCGATTGTACCAGGCCAGGGCGCTCGAGTGTTTGTACCCCGAGCCGATGGCGCTCTATCACCAATCGCTGGACGAAGCTCGGTGGAGAATTCAACTGGGCCATACACCGTATAAACGCGACCAATCACCCGTGCGATCAAAGCGATCAAATCGCGGAGTATGAACGCACTCTTATCAATCTTATACGGGGAAAGATTCCACCAACTACGGGACCGTGAAATGTGCCTTTAATATCACCACCTACGAAGCATTCACTCACGATTTTAATCCATTTCCGTATTGTCCAATCATACCCGGCTCCATCCTTTTGAGGGAATGACCAAACGATACCACAGAAATAGCCTATAACAAGAAGAAATGAGGTAAGGCTCAACATTCATTTTCGACATTTTTATTGAGTTTTCTAGGAATGCATTTTAAATACCTCTTTTCTATCCATACCGCATCCGTCATCGAGTATAGATAACATACCACCGTATTCTTCATTTGGAGCTAAAAATAGAAACTTTTATCTTGCTGTTCATTGTCTTGCGCACATTCAATCTTGCACTTCAATGGAAAATATGAATAAGAGGACATTGCAGACGTGAAATAAAAAAGAACGAGCTTATTTAGCCTCTGGGCTCAGAGTGCTCTAGGTACTTAAAATCATTTTGCTTTTTGCACAAAAGGCAAACACAGAAGACCTTGAATCACCGACCCTAGACCTCTCTAGTTTTTGACAAAAACCTCCATTATCATATCCGTTCCCCGGCATCTTACAGTATCAAAAGCACCACCTCTCCAAAGCGCCACTATCAATAATGAAAAGTGAGAAGTCATTTTAGATGAGAACAAATCTTACTGTAGTCGATATGTAAATTGTTTGCCATAGCATCTCGAGAGTTGTCCACAAGTTCAGCTATAGCACCGTAGACGAATTCGTGAGTTGTACTGGAATTTCATTGATTCTAACTGGTGGCAATCAAGGAAGAGGAAATATTGAAGTAAAATCCCAAAAAACGCATCTTTATTTGCATTGAACACGGTATTCGCTTCTGTAATCCCCTCAGCCCTAGGAACAGAAGTGGCGGTTTTTCAAAGCACCAATATGAAAAGCATGCGTAGATGACCACCCTGCTCGATGAAATCTCAAGGGTCGCTAAGAGGATGAAGGGAACGGAAGGGGGGGGGGTTGACGAAAATGCATAAGCTTCCCCTACTTAATATACCCCTGAAAGTACTCCAGATAAAGTGAAACATAGAAAACAACAAGCGTTTGTAGAAGGAAAATGCTGAAATAGTACCTGTTTGTGTGCAAGTACTCATAGCTGATTGTCGCCTTGTGAAAAATCGAGGTGTCGAAACCCGCACCGACGGATTCGTTCGAACCCGAATCGGCCGACGTCATTCAACCCTGGAAATTGCCCTAAATGGAACTGTACACGCAAAATCCACGCTCAATACAAATCAAAGGAAATTTAAGAGCGTTTGTAGAGGACCCGTAAAAAAGTTTCAGATCAAATCAGATACATACTTACGGATAAAACTAACCGAAAATTCCAAAACATCTGGACCAATTTCACACATTTATTAGCACACGATATGCACGTTCCTACACGTAGTAAGCAGAATAATTAAAATTACGTTTACAACGACATTTGAATACAAATGCAATTTGGCATCACCAATTACATTATTAGCTCATAATGAATATATGACAGTCAAAAGTGAAACAAACAAATAAGGAGGAAAAATACAGCAAATTGGACATTAATATAACGAACATCTATGATCATCTTCAAAGCATAGAAATCTACATGAAATAAATTATTTGTTTCCAACTCACCGTTTCCAGACCGACATGAACCCGTCAACGACATGTAAAATAAACAAGTTTTTGGTAATTACAAGCTGTGGGATTATAAATCGAGTTTGCCGACTAGCAGTCGGAATGTTATTGTATTGGCGAGGCACCAGCGACCTTTACTCGGTGCGGTGGCTTCTTTTGACATTTACTCAGTCATCCCCTCCAACCTTTATAAAGTGATCAATCTTTTCTGGAGCACTGAACTTTGCAACTTGCAGATGTACGGAATACAATCCTGACCCATACAATTGTGTGTGGGGCAAGCTGAAGTTGAGACAAGAATTCAGAAGCAAACATTATGATCTTCAATGATGAGTAATCACGCGGGTGTGCCCCCAATATGCGAGCACTGGGTCATTTCAAGGCTCTCTAGGCTCTGCCCTTGTGCGGGTGCCTACCTCGAGGGGGATAAAACGGCGGGGCACCGCCTAGACCTAAGCTTAAGCCGTAACAGGGCAGGGACAGGCGCCATGCAGTGAGCAATCTTATCTAGCACCTCCCTACCCTTTTCTTCCCCCTCCAGGCAACGGTCCGTTACTCGTTAAGGATTAGATGACTGTCAAGCAACACGTTAGTAACGAATAACCATTTCTGGCATATTATCGTCAATGACGTCACAAGACATGCCATTATCGTGTTGTATGACGCCAGTTACACATCCTCTACCCCTCAGCAAGGAACCTATTGGACCACCTACCCGCTGCTACAACAGCCTCCCCAATTTTGTTCGCGCGTTTAAAGCACATTGAACATCTGCTTATCCCGGTTCTTTCGGAAATCCACTGCACAGTTGAACCCGAGCTTTCAAATGAAAGCTATTTTTGATTATATTCAGAATTATCACAACCTTCAGTATACTCTCACAGCCGGGTGAGAGATACTCATAGTAAGTTCTCAGAAAGTGAGCAAGGAAGGATACTTCAATTCTCAGAGTTTTGTGAAAATAATCAGCAGAAGGATTACAATAATGGCTACCGTTTGACAGAATATACAATGCATTTTCTTGTCGTTACGTTGATGTTTCTCGGCTTTCTTCACGCTGTCTACTGCACGAGAAACACGAATCGACGCCTGTTCCACATTATAGTCGATCCTGAAGCAGCGATTATAGGCCGTTGCTGGCCACCTTTCAGAAAAAAACACCACGTGACAACTTTTTCACCGACAGAATGCAATATATAGGAGTTTTCAGGGCAGTTCGGCTAGGGGGAGGGGAGCACTTTGCACTTTCGCTGCCTCCCACTGTTGCGTCGAGCCTCAAGTAGAGAGCTGCGAAATCACGCGAAGCCACACAGTGATTCCCGTTAACGTTTGTGAGAAACGGCAAATTGTCAGCTCTTACTTGACGGCGACGAGCAGGACAATGGAACAAGCGAAACTGCCAAACTGCCTCCCCCTAGCCGAATGCGCTGGAATTCAGGACTTAGTATTTGCTCCAGTAGGATCAACCATATTGAAACTAAGGGCGCGATGAACATTAAAATGATAAGACGAAAGTAGAATTCTCACCGGTCAAGAATAGTGCCCTGGTCTACGACCATTGTTGACAAATCCTTGAAGAGTGTATTCAAGTTCTCGAATGGATGAATTAACCACCAGAACCTTCAAAGGAAAAGGATAAATGAAAGAAGCTGCAGTCATATTCACATATGAACACAATGCAGTTGCGCACGGGCTTTGTAATACCTGTCACCCTCCCTATTCTTGGGTTCACATTTAATTATGTAAGTATCAATACTATAACTGCAAATGCAAGCAATTAATGATGTATAATGGCAATGGACGAGGCGAAATTGGTGTAACTGCATCTAGCACGCTTAGCATGCGCAAGGTTCGGGCTTGAAACCGGATCGGCTCCAGCCTAGGCAACCGAGCCTTAAAACATTGCAGTGGGAAGATTAGCTGGGACTCGTTTTTCATGAGAAAATAGGAACAGCTAAGTTGAATGCTGGACCCCGCAGTTCATTGTATGGGCCGCAATAAGATACTACGATTCCTAAGAGAAGTAGAATGCGTGCCGCACTCAAGAAAGAAAAGGGAATAATCAGCGGCAAAGACTTTAACTTTATCTCATATCAATGATTTATAAATCGATGTGGGACCCGAAACAAGACTAACCATAAAAGGAAACGTCTTGGAAAGAGCACCTCAGCTGCATATGCATTAGCGATAAAGAATAAAGGCTAAAGTCTTCGTCGTTGATCACCTTCTTGGGATGCGGCACGGCACAGGTCACTTCATAGAATCGTAGTGGCTTATTGAATACGATGTGTCCTAATGCTGTGACTTATAGGGGCCAGCTGCTGCACAATTTAGCGCCCTCATTCCCCAGACGAATATGGCAAGAACCTTTCCCTCGAGGGTAGAAGGCCTGGTTGACCTGGGCTGGAGGCGATCCGAGATTTGACTCGCGGATCGCGCGCGCGATCTGCCCACTTGCCACTACACCACCTCCGCCTCATCCGTGATATAATTCGACGAAATATAAATAAAAAGATACGACATGTTGAACTATTAACATATGTCACAAACATTAACAATCGAAACTACTGACTACTTGAAATCAAACTTGCTTGCTCACCTCCTTTTCTCGCTCTTTTACAGCTTGTTCATCATCATCATCATCTGCTGAATTTGATCCATGGTATACTCTCGCGACGGCGTTACGTCAACAAGTTCACCCCACTGCAAATCATCGGACTGCCCCGTGGTGACCAGGAAGTTGTCGACATTGCTCGTTCGATTCTGGAACGTCGGCCATTTTAACCACATTCTCTATATTACTATGTGATTTCATAAGTTTCATCAGGATCGCAGAAAATCGCAACTAAATGCGCCGTGCTACCGCACGATGAAGCCACAGAAAGCTCACACAAACAACACATACTAGCTGAGTATTACTGCCGTTTGGCCTCACACACTGGCCGCCATCTTCCTGAGTTTTCAAATGTGTACTGCCTTGAGAGCTATAAAGCGCGCCAAAACAAATACGCTTGCCGTTGGAGGGAGGCCAACGCAGAGCAAAAAAAAAGCCGGCAAACCCAGCCCCCCACTCGTTCCCGGAGCACCTGCCCGCTCAAAAAACGCAAGTGTCTGTAGCGAGCAAGACTGTACACTACCAGAATACTCTAGCCCACGACTAAAATATAATCTACGTTTTCCTACAACTGTGCGCCAATGGATCATATGCCACAAATATGCCAAATAACTAGCGATGGGTTATATGGTGTATGCTGAACAATTAGCACATTAATGCCTTTACAATTGATATGAGCCAACATGAAATGACTAAAACGAAAAAAAGTGAACGGCGATAATATAAAAATCATATCCATAAAATCCACCCAAATCAAATGAAAACAGAAAAAAGAATTTTGCAGCGAAAATTATGCCTAGAGAACAAACCTTTATGTCCTTCAAATACTTTGACTGGCGTGTACGGAATTCATTCGTTAACTGACTTAACGTGAAGATTAAAGCCGAAACTGTGTTTTCACGCAGCTTTCTCTCAGAGTTATTCTCCATCCGTGAACTTTGTGTCGAGATCATGCTGGAAAAAAATACTATAAAATACAAGCAGAAGGACTTCTCTCGATTTACTACAAACCTTAGGTACAACACTACAGAAGACGCGTTGGTCTCAAGATTCATACTTGAATTTGAATGAAGCCAGCTAGCTGACACTCAAAAGCACAAAAAGTGACCAAAAATTGGTGTATAACCATTTTAGCATTTCCGAATAAATACGCCTCCCCCAAGCCTTCTCTCGGTGTGACCCTGTTCCTTTTCACGACCTCTCTCCATTCTCAACAACTCTTTCCTAAAAGTTTTGCCATGAATTGGGGGTAGAAAGCTCACATACGAACTAGTTCTGCTGCGGCCAACAACTAAAAAGGAAGGGGGAGGGGTGAAAAAAGAAAGGCAGAAAGAAGGGTGCGGAGAAATGTTGTCAGCGTTGAAATATGATGGTCCGCGTGCAACGGCAAGCGCTTTTTCCACGCAATTGGGTGATAGTGTTGTCAATTTAGGGCACGTTTAGAAATTATTCCCTAGTGTTCTCAACAAGCCTAGGAGAGCCAATTAAGGCACATCGCCGTCTTACACAACGCTGCAAAATGACTTAATATGCTGGCTTTTCAAACAAATCGACTTATGGGGAGATCTTCTTCCGGATGGCACGACCTTTATGCAGAAAGGATAATCATAATTCTGCTCACTAGAGGGCGTGAATGGTCTGAAGTTGGCTAAAAGTCGTTGCCATCCGAAGCGATTCGCCCATAAGTCCGAGTTTTGTTTGAAAAAGCAGCAATTATAAGTCATTTGACGTTGTGTATGACGGCGCTGTGCTAATTGTCTCTCTCTAGGCTTTGTTTGAGAACAACTAGGGAATATTGTAAAGTGCGCGCTAAACTTGCAACATATCAGCCCATTGCGTGGATAAGCGGCTTGCGCGTTGGCAGGCGGGACATCATATTTCAAGTGAAATTTCTCGGCGAAACCTTCTTCTGGCCCTTTGTTTTTTTTCACCCCTCCCCCTTCCTTTTTAGTTGTTGGCGCAGCAGAACTAGTTCGTATGTGAGCTTTCTACCCCCAATTCATGGCAAACTTTTAGGAAAGAGTTGTTGAGATATGGAGAGAGGTCGTGAAAAGGAACAGGGTCACCCGAGAAGGCTTGGGCGTTATTTATTCGAATGCTATAATGTTATACACCAATTTTTGGTCACTTTTTTGTGGCATCTTTGAATTTCAAGCTAGCTGGCTTCATTCAATTCAGTGGAATTCTGAGACCAACAGTTTCTGTAGTTGTTGTACCTAAAGGGTTGTAGTAAATCGAGAGAAGACCTTCTGCTTGTATTTTCCAGTATTTTTTTCCAGCATGATCTCCACACAAAGTTCCCGGATGGAGAATAACTCTGAGAGAAAGCTGCGTGAGAACACAGTTTCGGCTTTAATCTTCACGTTAAGTCAGTTAACGAATGAATTCCGTACACGCCAGTCAAAGTATTTGAAGGACATAAAGGTTTGTTCTCTAGGCATAATTTTCGCTGCAAAATTCTTTTTTCTGTTTTCATTTGATTTGGGTGGATTTTATGGATATGATTTTTATTATCGCCGTTCACTTTTTTCGTTTTAGTCATTTCATGTTGGCTCATATCAATTGTAAAGGGATTAATGTGCTAATTGTTCAGCATACCCATATAACCCATCGCTAGTTATTTGGCATATTTGGCATATGATCCATTGGCGCACAGTTGTAGGAAAACGTAGATTATTTTTTAGTCGTGGGCTAGAGTAATCTGGTAGTATACAGTCTTGCTCGCTACAGACACTTGCGTTTTTTTGAGCAGGGGGGTGTGGGAACGAGGGGGGCTGGTTTGCGGCGGTTTTTTTTTGGCTTCTGCGTTGGCCCCCCTCCCAACAGCAGAGCGTATTGTTTTTGGGCCGCTCTATAGCTCTCAAGGCAGTACCTAATGAAACTTAGGAAGATGGGCCAGGGTGTGAGGCAAACGGCAGTAATACTCAGCGTAGTTCATGTGTTCGTTTGTTTGAGCTTTATGTGGCTTCATCGTGCGGTAGCACGGCGCATTTAGTTGCGATTTTCTGCGATCCTGATGAAACTTATGAAATCACATAGTAATATAGAGAATGTGGTTAAAATGGCCGACGTTCCAGAATCGAACGAGCAATGTCGACAACTTCCTGGTCACCACGGGGCAGTCCGATGATTTGCAGTGGGGTGAACTTGTTGACGTAACGCCGTCGCGAGAGTATACCATGGATCAAATTCAGCAGATGATGATGAATGAACAAGCTGTAAAAGAGCGAGAAAAGGAGGTGAGCAAGCAAGTTTGATTTCAAGTAGTCAGTAGTTTCGATTGTTAATGTTTGTGACATAGGTTAATAGTTCAACATGTCGTATCTTTTTATTTCTATTTCGTCGAATTATATCACGGATGAGGCGGAGGTGGTGTAGTGGCAAGTGGGCAGATCGCGCGCGCGATCCGCGAGTCAAATCTCGGATCGCCTCCAGCCCAGGTCAACCAGGCCTTCTACCCTCGAGGGAAAGGTTCTTGCCATATTCGTCTGGGGAATGAGGGCGCTAAATGTGGGCAGGCAGCTGGCCCCTATAAGTCACAGCATAGGACACATCGTATTCAATAAGCCACTACGATTCTATGGAAGTGGTGTGCGGTGCCGCATCCCAAGAAGGTTGATCAACGACGAAGACTTTAGCCTTTATTCTTTATCGCTAATGCATATGCAGCTGAGGTGCTCTTTCCAAGACGTTTCCTTTTATGGTTAGTCTTTTTCGGGTCCACATCGATTTATAAATCATTGATATGAGATAAGTTAAAGTCCTTTGGCCCGGCTGATTATTCCCTTTTCTTTACTTGAGTGCGGCACGCATTCTACATCTCTTAGGAATTGCAGTATCTTATTGCGGCCCATACAATGAACTGCGGGACCAAGCCAATTCAACTTAGTGTTCCTATTCTCATTGAAAAACGAGGTCCCAGCTATCTTCCCCTGAATGTTTAAGGCTCGGTTGGAACCTAGGCAGGAGCCGATCCCGGTTTCAACCCCGAACCGTGCGCATGCTAAGCGTGCTAGATGCAGTTACACCAATTTCGCCTCGTCCATTGCCATTATACATCATTAATTGCTTGCATTTGCAGTTATAGTATTGATACTTACATAATTAAATGTGAACCCAAGAATAGGGAGGATGACAGGTATTACAAAGCCCGTGCGCAACTGCATTGTGTTCATATGTGAATATGACTGCAGCTTCTTTCATTTATCCTTTTCCTGAAGGTTCTGGTGGTTAATTCATCCATTCGAGAACTGAATACACTCTTCAAGGATTTGTCAACAATGGTCGTAGACCAGGGCACTATTCTTGACCGGTGAGAATTCTACTTTCGTCTTCATTAACTGTTCCATTCCGTTCAATATGTTTGATCCTATGAGCAAATATTAAGTCCCTGAATCCAGCGCAGTTCGGCTAGGGGGAGGCATTTGGCAGTTTCGTTGCTTCCCATTGTCCTGCTCGTCGCCTCAGAAGAGCTGACAATTGGTTTCTACAAACGTTAACGGGAATCACTGTGTGGCTTCGCGTGATTTCGCAGCTCTCTACTTGAGGCTCGACGCAACAGTGGGAGGCAGCGAAAGTGCAAAGTGCTCCTCCTCCCCCTAGCCGAACTGCCCTGAAAACTCCTATATATTGCATTCTGTCGGTGAAAAAGTTGTCACGTGGTGTTTTTTTTTTCTTAAATGGCAGAACGGCTATATCGCTGCTTTCAAGGATCGACTATAATGTGGAACAGGCGTCGATTCGTGTTTCTCGTGCAGTAGACAGCGTGAAGAAAGCCGAGAAACATCAACGTAACGACAAGAAAATGCATTGTATATTCTGTCAAACGGTAGCAATTATTGTAATTCTTCTGCTGATTATTTTCACAAAACTCTGAGAATTGAATTATCCTTCCTTGCTCACTTTCTGAGAACTTACTATGAGTATCTCTCACCCGGCTGTGAGAGTATACTGAAGGTTGTGATAATTCTGAATATAATCAAAAATAGCTTTCATTTGAAAGCTCGGGTTCAACTGTGCAGTGGATTTCCGAAAGAACCGGGATAAGCAGATGTTCAATGTGCTTTAAACGCGCGAACAAACTTGGGGAGGCTGTTGTAGCAGGGGTAGGTGGTCCAATAGGTTCCTTGCTGAGGGGTAGAGGATGTGTAACTGGCGTCATACAACACGATAATGGCATGTCTTGTGACGTCATTGACGGTAATATGCCAGAAATGGTTATTCGTTACTAACGTGTTGCTTGACAGTCATCTAATCCTTAACGAGTAACGGACCGTTGCCTGGAGGGGGAAGAAAAGGGTAGGGAGGTGCTTTAAGATAAGGATTTGCTCACCTGCATGCGCCTGTCCCTGCCCTGTTACGGCTTAAGCTTAGGTCTAGGCGGTGCCCCGGTGTGATCCCCTCCCTCGAGGTAGGCACCCGCACAAGGGCAGAGCCTAAGAGAGCCTTGAAATGACCCAGTGCTCGCATATTGGGGGCACACCCGCGTGATTACTCATCATTGAAGATCATAATGTTTGCTTCTGAATTCTTGTCTCAACTTCAGCTTGCCCCACACACAATTGTATGGGTCAGGATTGTATTCCGTACATCTGCAAGTTGCAAAGTTCAGTGCTCCAGAAAAGATTGATCACTTTATAAAGGTGAGGGATGACTGAGTAAATGTCAAAAGAAGCCACCGAGTAAAGGTCGCTGGTGCCTCGGCAGATACAAAACTTCCGACTGCTAGTCGGCAAACTCGATTTATAATCCCACAGCTTGTAATTACCAAAAACTTGTTTATTTTACATGTCGTTGACGGGTTCATGTCGGTCTGGAAACGGTGAGTGAGTTGGAAACAAATCAAAGGAAAAAAAACAAAAAAAGAAAAAAAAACCCCCTCTCCCCCAACCAACCCACACGACGACACCGGAGCACAAAAAAACAGTTCTTCCATGTAGATTTCTATGGCTTTGAGATGATCATACGACACTGACACTCGTATATATATGTCATTTCAGACAATCACACGCCTCACTATCTCTCTAACCTCCTTATTTGTTTGTTTCACTTTTAACTGTCATATATTCACTATGAGCTAATAATGTAATTGGTGATGCCAAATTGCATTTGTATTCAAATGTCGTTGTAGAACAGTAATATTTAATCTATTCTGCTTTATAACGTGTCGCCGGAACGCTCACATCACATCACACACACTGCTGCTAATAAATGTGGTGAAAATACTACGCCTCAGCGCACAGAAATGCTATTCTCGCGCACACTACTACTCTGTTAGATCTTCTCTACGCTCACAGTCTGTATCCTCTCACTCTTCGCACTCAGAAACTTTTTAGCGGGTCCTGCTATAACGCTCTTCAACACACCTCTCTCAATCTATCGAACATTTGTTTGAGCGTGATTTTCGCGTGTACAGTTCCATTTAGGGCAATTTCCAGGGTTGAATGACGTCGGCCGATTCGGGTTCGAACGAATCCGTCGGTGCGGGTTTCGACACCTCGATTTTTCAGGCGACAATCAGCTATGAGTACTTGCACACAAACAGGTACTATTTCAGCATTTTCCTTCTACAAACGCTTGTTGTTTTCTATGTTTCACTTTATCTGGAGTACTTTTCAGGGGTATATTAAGTAGGTGAACGCTTTGCATCCTTCGTCAACCCCCCCCTTTCCGTTCTCCTTATCCTCTTAGCGACCCATGAGATTTCATCGAGCAGGGTGGTCATCTACGCATGCTTTTCATATTGGTGCTTTGAAAAACCGCCACTTCTGTTCCTAGGGGCTGAGGGGATTACAGAAGCGATGACGCGTGTTCATGCAAATGAAGATGCGTTTTTTTTTTGGATTTTACTTCAATATTTCCTCTTCCTTGATTGCCACCAGTTAGAATCAATGAAATTCCAGTACAACTCACGAATTCGTCTACGGTGCTATAGCTGAACTTGTGGACAACTCTCGAGATGCTATGGCAAACAATTTACATATCGACTACAGTAAGATTTGTTCTCATCTAAAATGACTTCTCACTTTTTTTTATTATTAGATAGTGGCGCTTTGGAGAGGTGGTGCTTTTGATACTGTAAGATGCCGGGGAACGGATATGATAATGGAGGTTTTTTTTTTCAAAAACTAGAGAGGTCTAGGGTCAGTGATTTAACGTCTTTGTGTTTGCCTTTTGTGGCAAAAAAGCAAATGATTTTAAGTACCTAGAGCATTCTGAGCCCAAAGGCTAAATAAGCTCGTTCTTTTTTATTTCACGTCTGCAATGTCCTTTATTCATATTTTCCATTGAAGTGCAAGATTGAATGTGCGCAAGACAATGAACAGCAAGAAAAAGTTTCTATTTTCAGCTCCAAATGAAGAATATGGGTGGTATGTTATCTATACTCGATGACGGATGCGGTATGGATAGAAAAGAGGTATTTAAAATGCATTCCTAGAAAACTCAATAAAAATGTCGAAAATGAATGTTGAGACTTACCTAATTTCTTCTTGTTATAGGCTATTTCTGTGGTATCGTTTGGTCATTCCCTCAAAAGGATGGAGCCGGGTATGATTGGACAATACGGAAATGGATTAAAATCGTGAGTGAATGCTTCGTAAGTGATATTAAAGGCAGCCCATTTCACGGTCCCGTAGTTGGTGGAATCTTTTCCCCGTATAAGATTGATAAGAGTGCGGTTCATACTCCGCGATTTGATCGCTTCGATCGCACGGGTGATTGGTCCCGTTTATACGTTGTATGGCCCAGTTGAATTCTCCACCGAGTTCGTCAGCGCGATTGATGATACGGGCGTGCCATCCGGCTTGGGGTACAAACATTCGAGCGTCATTGTCCTGGCACAATTGCGGTCCGATCGTGCGATCCCTGCGATTGGATCGCGAAGTATGAACGGGCTCTGAGCTTACAGGTCCGTAACCTCTTGCTTGTCTCATTTTTTTCCACTCAAAAATGCGTGCTAGGACGCTCCAGGGTTGTGGTTTAGGTTGGTCGCACCTCTCAGATTGTGATTTTGAACAGTATGTAGATACCCTATGCCTATATGTTTCTTTGTCTTTATCCTGTAGATTTTCCGGTCTCTCATGCTAGCGCTGAGCATATCTGCGCCTATTTAGTTGTTCTTGGAATCGGCCGGGCCTTATTAAGACGTTTTCGTCGGCTGTTTCAGCTTTCTCCTTTACTGGGGGATTAATAAGCACCCTAAAATGCCCCTTGTGAACCCTGATCTATGAACTGCAATCGCGGAATGTGTTATCGATTTTTACCGACCTGTTGGCTTAACAAGTTTATTAACTGTTCTTTTTGTTACTTTCCGAATTTCAGCGGTGCGATGCGTATTGCCAAAGATTTCATCATGTTTACGAAGAAAGATGGGTTGCTGACGTGTTTGTTGTTCAAGA